CCCGGGATAAATATGTAAATCCTAGAAAGACGTTGTTCAATGTTACATTCACGTAAACACCCAAACAGGACCAATTAGAATTTATCTTACATGTAATACGTTCGCTAACAATTTTAGCTGGAAACAACGAAACAAACAAAAAAACGCATTCACCTTCAGTAAGTAGGCCAGCGTTGTGCTAAAGCGGGACGTATGGTAAGCCTGGGCATAGCCAACCTAGACTAATGAAATCCGCATTTGATTTTTAGTTTTCTATAATGACAAAATTGTTATTCCCAAATCCCAACCCAAAAGATAGAAAGTCAGATAACAATTTATCCTGCCAAGCACATCATTTGACTTTGCTAGTTTCCTCAGCTGGTCATAACACTAGTCAATTCAGTGACATTAGTGATTAAACAATATGTCAAAAATTATTTTTGATAAATTTTATGACGAAACAACATTAAATGCAATTTTTTGCTCATTCTCTGAATGCGACGGGGGCCACAGATAATGAAGCTGCGGGCCACATGTGGCCCGCGGGCCTGGGTTTGAACCGCACATGTGATCTGAAATTTTAGGGGGGTGTTCACCCACTATAGTGCAGGAAAATCATTGCTTATACAGATGAATTTACAAATGAAAATGTTCTAATGTTCCCCTATTGAGATATAGAGTTAAGTGAACACTGCTGCCCTATTCTAACCCTCTGTCCATGTGGCAGCCAAATAGCCCTCTAAGAAAAAGGCCATTCAAATGGTGAATGGGACCATATTATAACCCTATTCCAGCCAAATAGCCCTCTATGTAGGAAGTCATTCAAATGACAATTTAGTTTTGCTTCAGATTGTCCCATTTTAAGAAATTAGATATACATTGACGTCTATGTGTTCTATGTTGAACATGACATTCATTTAGAATATATTAGATACTTTGTAGTTTGTATTATTGCAATATTAATTTAGAAAGTATTTGGAACAGTTGATAATACGATTTTGAAACCACACAGCCAACACAACAAACTGGCACAAGCTGGTTCAAACCGGTCTAAACCAGTTCTAGCTCGCCATCTCACATCACCTTTCAGTCAATTATTTGCTAAATACTTATTACAGCTTCAACAACCAAACTGCTCGTGCTAGGTAATGATATTTGTTTGGCAAACACCAACTCAGAATACCTAGCAAGGGAAGTCAATTGGCATTTTTCAAAATTACCCGGAGAGGAAAGTCAGTAAGATGGCTTAACATAATCACAGTCTCTCATCTGTTAATTCCATATTGGATAAAATAATAGATAACCAGCAAATTCTTTGATAAAACATTATCTAAACCCTCAACACTTACAAACTCATGACTTGCACAAAGCACAATACTTTATTTTAGTGGACAATAGCAATTCTGCCATCAGCATTGTTTCCACATTTCGTCGAAAGCTAACTTGTATAAATTCTGTAGATCAAAGCGCATCAGTGGTGCATACAACTTTTTTATGAGTAATATTCCCACTCCCCATTTTGTATTCAATGCAAATATCAAATTTATTCGGGAGAGGGGAGTAGTAATAAATTTATTTAATCACTTTCCCTGATTACACTGAATAAAACCAATTACAGAAATATTTTTCCACTACTTTTCAAATGACTTTTAACAAGGCTGGAATGAGAGCAGGGATGATCAAAACTAACGAAATATTTGGGTCGATCAAGGATAATAAAACTCGACATTTCAATTCTTGCTTTTATTAAGAAGAATTCCAAATAGTTTCATTTGAAATATTATCAATGACCTTTGACAAACTAGGGGGTCGGCTTAACGTGCAAAACTCGGATCACACTCAGGCAAAATGAGTGAAGAAGGAATTCAAAATAGCAGTTTTTGGATTGGAAAATAATCTACACAATTCTCAATTGAACTTTTTGCTCCATACAAGCAGCCACCAATATAAAGTAAAAAAAGTAAAGGAGACTCATATCTGAGCAAAGTTACAGTCACTCACTCAGAAGTAAAGGAGACTCATCTCTGAGCAAAGTTACAGGCACTCACTCAGAAGTACAGGAGACTCAACACTGAGCAAAGTTACGGGGACTCACTCAGAAGTAAAGGAGACTCATCTCTGAGCAAAGTTACAGGCACTCACTCAGAAGTACAGGAGACTCAACACTGAGCAAAGTTACGGGGACTCACTCAGAAGTAAAGGAGACTCATCTCTGAGCAAAGTTACAGGCACTCACTCAGAAGTAAAGGAGACTCATCTCTGAGCAAAGTTACAGGCACTCACTCAGAAGTAAAGGAGACTCATCTCTGAGCAAAGTTACAGGCACTCACTCAGAAGTAAAGGAGACTCATCTCTGAGCAAAGTTACAGGCACTCACTCAGAAGTAAAGGAGACTCATCTCTGAGCAAAGTTACAGGCACTCACTCAGAAGTAAAAGAGACTCATTCATGGGCAATTCACTCAGAAGGAGCAATGTTACGAGCATATCAACTTATGGGGCTATATAGAACTACAGTGGTTCATGAATAACGATTACACGCATCAAGCGCTTGATAAGTAAATATACTTGGGCAGTCTTTGCAACGAGACCCTGCTGTGACATCATAGAGCATTCCATATATGGTAACGGACCGGGTTGTATACGCATTAGTTAATGTTTCACAGAATTTATGTCAACAAATCAATATTCATTATTCAGAGATGGCCCACATATAAACTATACCATACAGCCACATATTATTTAACAACCATCCTTAACCGACTGTTAATTGTTTGAATTACTGAATCTTGTTTCCAGACCTTGTGTAAGAGTTTGGGTTTACTTTCCAGCATGTATGAGAATATAAATTCCACCCTTACTATCCCAAACCGAATTACTTTGTCTATATTGTGGAATAATGATTTTGAATATGGAGTATATCACAGTCTCTCATCTGTTAATTCTATATTGGATAAAAGAATAGATAACCAGCAAATTCTTTAATAAAACATTATCTAAACCCTCAACACTTACAAACTCATGACTTGCACAAAGCACAATACTTTATTTTATTGGACAATAGCAATTCTGCCATCAGCATTGTTTCCACATTTCGTCGAAAGCTAACTTGTATAAATTCTGTAGATCAGCGCATCAGTGGTGCATACAACTTTTTTATGAGTAATATTCCCACTCCCCATTTTTTATTCAATGCAAATATCAAATTTATTCGGGAGAGGGGAGTAGTAATAAGTTTATTTAATCACTTTCCCTGATTACACTGAATAAAACCAATTACAGAAATATTTTTCCACTACTTTTCAAATGACTTTTAACAAGGATGGAATGAGAGCGGGGATGATCAAAACTAACGAAATATTTGGGTCGATTCAAGATAATAAAACTCGACATTTCAATTCTTGCTCTTATTAAGAAAAATTCCAAATAGTTTCATTTGAAATATTATCAATGACATTTGACAAACTAGGGGGTCGGCTTAACGTGCAAAACTCGGATCACACTCAGGCAAAATGAGTGAAAATGAATTCAACAGATTTTGGATTTGAAAATAATCTACACATTTCTCAATTGAACTTTTTGCTCCATACAAGCAGCCACCAATATAAAGTAAAAGAAGTAAAGGAGACTCATCTCTGAGCAAAGTTACGGGCACTCACTCAGAAGTAAAGTAGACTTATCTCTGAGCAAAGTTACGGGCACTCACTCAGAAGTAAAGGAGACTCATCTCTGAGCAAAGTTACAGGCACTCACTCAGAAGTAAAGGAGACTCATCTCTGAGCCAAGTTACATGCACTCACTCAGAAGTAAAGGAGACTCATCTCTGAGCAAAGTTACAGGCACTCACTCAGTAGTAAAGGAGACTCATTCATGGGCAATTCACTCAGAAGGAGCAATGTTACGAGCATATCAACTTATGGGGCCATATAGAACTACAGTGGTTCATGAATAACGATTACACGCATCAAGCGCTTGATAAGTAAATATACCTGGGCACTCTTTAAAGTGAGACCCTGCTGTGACATCATAGAGCATTCCATATATGGTAACGGACCGGGTTGTATACGCATTAGTTAATGTTTCACAGAATTTATGTCAACAAATCAATTATCATTATTCAGAGATGGCCCACATATAAACTATACCATACCGCCACATATTATTTACCAACCATTCTTAACCGACTGTTAATTGTTTAAATTACTGAATCTCGTTTCCAGACCTTGTGTAAGAGTTTGGGTTTACTTTCCAATATATTTGAGAATATTATTCCCCCTTACTATCCCAAACCGAATTACTTTGTCTATATTGTGGAATAATGATTTTGAATATGGAGTATATACGGTACATCAGCGGTTCCCGACCATATTTTTGAGCCACGACCTCCTTTGAATATTTTCTAACATGCCCCTCTCACAATATTTCTGAATTTGAATCGAAATGTTATACAAAAGAAAGGGTATTAAGTTAAAATGAGTACAGGATGAAAATAGAAGGAATCCCAATTTGTCTGTTTCGGTTTATTGGGTGCCACCGTAAAAAACAACAATAAAGAAAATGCATCTTAGTCACTTCATAATAATGTTTGCCCTCTGTAGTCCACAAACTCACAGATAAACGATTGGATTAGGGACGAACTCTTATTAGACTACATTAACACTTTCGATGCCAAGATCAGTTTTTTCAATTTTACCGTTCCGTGCCAAGGTGAAAACGAGAGAGTTCTCTCCTATTCATTCTCTCTCGTATTTAGTTTTTGATTCATCGGGAAAGGGGCGAACCCAGCGGTGTCATCAGTTATCGTTCATTCCGACACTTCAGTCGTAGGTGAAAGAACTCACCTACACACGCGTATCTTGTCGGAATTGCTCTCTCATGCTATTATAACATAAGTTGATGATAACTTGTCTTGATCTCTCATTGCGATAAAGATTCAATTCGAACATTTTATTCAGCAATCAGAATCATTTTATTATACGAAAATATCAAATTTGAACAAAGAAAACAAAATCATTTACTAGCATAAAAATATATCCTTCATTCGCTATATATTCCAATAACATTAATAATGGCCAATTATTGTCACTCACAAGGATAACATATTGCAAAATAAACAAAGTAGTCACATTGCATATTCATACAACTGTAACACATATGTATCTCTATGACCTCGTCACCATTACAATACGTCGAAAGTATTGAAATCGGCCTCTTATCTTGCCATAGTAGTGCGAGTAATTGTCCTTTTCGTATTGAGATGATTTCCCCTTTCTTTAGTTTTGTTTTTATTTCTGCTGGAAGTCCCTTCCGGTTTGCCGTGACTGTTCCCGTTATCGATGTTTTCCTTCACTGCAATTCCTCGGCTAATGCGACAGAGTTATAGAGTCTAAATTAAAAATGAATATTATTAAAAATTGGTTGTGATAAAACAGTTTATGCAATTGATTGATATATCCGACAATGATTCGTTATCTAAAATAGAACGCAGTATGGCGCCGAGACGTAAATTATCTAATTTGTCTTATCAATACCGAATAATCAACATACCTATCAACAAATACGTGATATCCTCTATCCAGATGACTTTCCATTAGTCGCAAAACTAAATTCGAAGTTTTTGTGACGCCAGGTGGAAGTTGTTCCAAGTTTGGATTACCATAATCTATTTTTACATTGAAAATGTATCCAGTTGTTGAATCAGCAATCGATCTAGCAATGATGCCCCATTTAACCGGTTTGTTTGGCATATATCTTCTGAATGAAACTCTTCCTTTATATGCAATCATGGTTTCATCGGTTCAGTCAGTAAACGATTCGTGGGTTCAGTCAGTAAACGATGAAATTCGAAGTCTTTACTTGCCTCGGCAAACATTTCATTCAATCTGGTATTTATAGCGAGCAAATACTTATTTGTGTGGATATTTGAACTAATATTGGCGTGCAAATGAGGTATTTCCAAATGCAATTTCAATATTCATTATACGCATCCGGTGTCTCTAAGTTGACATAATAAAAAGGTTTAAAGCTTCATCGAAATTTGTCAGTTGATCTGTCAAGAACACGATTTTCCGAAATTGTCATCTCACGCAATTTGCTACGCAAGTCGTCTCGACTGCACGTAGTCCCGTCTTCGTGGCGCCAGACACGTGATCGCTATTGCGTAGCTACGTAATCAGTACGCCATGGCTGCTTATTGAACTTGTTCATCCGACACAAAGTCGTAGGATTGCATATTTTGCTATAATTATGGTTATACAATAGCTACGGAAGTACCGTAAAACGGGGTGACTTTGACCTCACGGGTTGACTTTGGCCCCATTTTGAGAATTTGTTTAAAACCCACCCAAATCTACTTTTATTTGATATTTCCCATTTTATTTTGTTTTGATACTGTAGTTAATAACAGCAGCAATAATTATACAACAAAAAATTTTGTCACTTTATGAAAAATATTTGGGAAAAAAAACTTTTTCATTTGGAGGGTCAGAAATAAAAAAATTGAAAAAAAAATCGCAACTCAGTACTTTTATTGAGAAGTCCAAAAAAGAAACATTCAATTGTCCTTATTCTTTACAGGTTGGAAGAGATATTCTCTGTGAAGGTTTTTATGGTGTTTGGAACAAGTTTAAACTAGTTGGGGGCGTATGAGGGAGGTTTTTTGCCCACAATGCAAAATTCCATGTAATATGGTACTGACTTTGGCCCACCTTATTACCCTATACAAACCTACTTTTTTGTTTTATTTTTCAGAAATAAAACGAATTTATTTTCTCATTCTAGTCATCCAGTTAATCTATAAATGTAAACAGTTTATTTCAAATCATGGTGAGAAAATTCAGTCGTGTTTTGGGCAGTAGAAGATACCATGATTATAGTGAGAAAAAACTTCAGCGAGCTCTGGAAGCAATTAAAAGGGGAGAATCGCAAAGAAACGTTGCAGCACAGTTCAATATACCTAGGAGTACTTTGAAGAATAAGTTGAAACTGAGGCACATGAAAAAATTTGGTGGGCAAACAGTTTTATTTGCAGAAACTGAGAAAATTCTAGTGGAGCACTGCATAGCCGTAAGCAGTTTTGGTTTTCCGATAGCACAGGAAGATTTGAGAAGCATAGTTAAAGCTTATCTTGATGCAAAAGGAGTGACTGTCAGTAAATTTCACAGCAATTATCCTGGAGTTGAATGGGTGAAAGCATTCTTAAAAAGGCACTCAGAACTAACGGTGCGATTCGCAACGAATATAAAAAAGAAAAGGGCAGGGGTATCGAGTGAGACTATTGAAAAATATTTTGAAAACATCGAAGAAGAGTTGGATGATGTGCCCCCGGAAAATATTTGGAATTATGATGAAACAAACTTAACTGATGACCCAGGTATGAGTGACTTTGCTTTTAAGTATATACAGTACTACGGTATTCAATTTTTCAAGCGTTCTTTGTTAATCCCCTTTTTTAAAATATTTACTGCGTCAAATCAAATTTTAAACTATTTATGGTGTTATGTAAAATTTCACTTTGGCTTGCAGTCTAGTATGGATAATAAATATTACTGTATTGTGATCAAAGCATTTATTTTTAGGGCAAAAGAAGATAATATGCAAGCGCGGCTGCAAATACCCAGAAAGAATCCTGAATTCGACAAAATCTGCAATAAGTTTGATGTTCTGTGGGAATGCAGCAGGAGCAGTGATGCCACCGTATGTAGTGTACAAAGCCGAGAATCTGTGGAGCACTTGGGTTGAAGGAGGACCACCAGGGACACTATACAACAGATCAAGATCAGGCTGGTTTGATGGATTTAGTTTTCAAGATTGGTTTAATCGAATGGTGCTGCCTAGGCTGAAGCGTCAAAATGGGAAAAAAGTTCTCATTGGGGATAATTTATCCTCCCATATCAGTCCAGATGTTCTGAAATCATGTCTTGATCACAATATAGCTTTCATATGTCTACCGCCTAATTCGACGCACCTCACCCAACCCCTGGATATTGCCTATTTCAGGCCAATGAAAGTCGCTTGGAGATCGATATTGAATTCTGTGAAAAGTAAAGAAAGAAGGCAGACATCCGCAACGCTAAGAAAAGATGAGTTTCCAGCACTTTTGAACAAACTCTGCTTTGCTCTTGATGTCAGGGGAGCAAACAACCTAGTTGCAGGATTTAAAAAAGCAGGACTTGTTCCGCTCAATAAAGAAGAAGTTCTCAGTAGATTACCAAGAACTACGAGTCATGATGATTCTGATGTTATCAGTGAAAAATTTCTTGAGAAAATTTCAGATTTAAGATCTTCTGTGGCAAAGGAAACTAAAACAAGAAAGAAGGTTCAGGTAGAACCTGGGAAAAGCGCATGTGAGGAAGATGTGGCAAGACTTGAAAAAACGGTTTCAAAAAAAGCTCAAGCAAATCAAAATATTGAAGATTCAGATTCAACGGTTGAAATTGTTTCCTCAGACGATGAATGCGATGAAGCCTCTACTCCTGAATCATCCAACTCTCACTCTGTAGTTTCAACTGCTCATCACTTGCCATTTGAAGAATGCAACATTGGTGATTATGTTATAATTTCGTATGAGGGTGAATTATACCCTGGAATTGTCAAAACCCGCACAACTGACGGGTGCGAGGTGAGTGTCATGGAGAAGTCTGGATGTAACTGGAGATGGCCATTTCGGAAAGATCAGATTTTTTACGACTGGAGCAGCATAAAACGTTGTATCAGTCCCCCAGATCTCATAAATGCGCGAGGCATCTATAAAGTGTCTGAATTGAACTGAACTGACCTTTTTGCCATGATATCAACTGCTATGAATGAATACAGACATGTTTAATTTTGATTTTTGCAGTGCCATTATAAAATGGCCGATTTCGTTGAGTGTTCTAATTTTTTTGGGGTTTCTGTTTTTTTAAAAAGTCTCTGTGGGCCAAAGCCCACTGTAATAAATGTTTTCTTTGTCTCAGTATGGGTACAGCTTAATTTATGGGGAGAAATAGGCACTGGGCCAAAGTGGTACCGAAATTGCTGGTGACTTTGGCCCACCGTAAATTAAAAAAAATAATATAGAAAAAACAAATATTTTGGTTCAATGATTATGCACGACGTATACCCCCTCTAAAATGCATAGTTTGGACCCGGAATAGCAATTCATAGATTTTTAATATTCGAGATATTTTGACTGAAAGACCAAAAATGGGTCATAGTCACCCCGCTTTACGGTAATTCAATATGAGCTGAAAGCATACGAGGGGCTCTGTGTTATTGGTAATATATTTCCCACTAAATTACTATATCTCGGATCATATCTCACTGACAAGTAGAAAAATATATGTTCCGAATAATATCAATTTCTCACTTTATTATTTCAAAATGTAACATATCACCTCTCAGGACGATAAAATTTGCTTTCGTTGCAGATGTCCGTCAATCCGTTACCCAAAAATGATAAAAAATTAAAAAAACGTTCAAAAATACCAACATTTTTAATCATTTCATCGTCCTGCCAATAAGACGACGATCATGCATATAAAAATATTCGAATTATTTCCCGGTTTAGTAATGTTTTTCTACATCTTCGTAACATGATTGATAATATTATCATCTCTCCTCACACCTTTCAATCATTTCACCGTAAAAAGTTGAAACCGTGTGTTGGCGTCAGTCGGTCTCGTACAAATTTTTGATGATAATTTGCGGCTAATATGTACCTCGGCCATGCTAAATAAGTTGATAATTTACTTCATGGCAGACCCTCCTTCCATCTTGGTATTTCTTGAATGACGCGATTGACTGACGACGTCATTCTTTCCCCCCAACTTGACAACAAGAGAGAGAGAGAGAAGTAAAAAAGACGGCAAATACCTGAACTCGACCTTCTTCTATCTATTAAACTTTTTCCTTTTCGAATGACGTATATATACGTCATTTTGCATTGATGGCACGGAACGGTTGGCGCCAAATGACGTATATATACGTCCTTGGCATCGAAAGTGTTAAACTCTCATAAATGGTAAAATTTAACACCAAATTTACTGATGCTGCCACAACCAGAATAAAACCAAATTTTGATGTTTCAGCTAAAAAAATAGCTCAAAGAATTTGTTTGAATTGCGATTAAATTTAGTTTTTGCACAAGGCTCATTGTTTTCCACAATTGCTTTTGTAACACTGTACTGTATTTAAATTCCGTTCACAAAATGTAACTTTTTACGTCACTCTTAGATGGCCCACCAGTCTAGATGGGCAAAATTTTGGCCCCTGGTTCAAAAATGTTCTAAAGTCTAATAAATTTAAAAACAAACAAACATTTAAACGATGCTCTAAAAGTGAATTTAGCGCCACATTATTAAATACTTCGACAGTGCGTTGCTTGTGCCATTGCCAAAGGGGATTTTTGGTGGCAAGAGTAAAAAAGTACTGGTACACAGTCAGTAAAAACGAGAACCACTGTTCTAAAGTCTAATAAATTTAAAAACAAATCTAAACATTGTAGTATGAAGTGGAACACTGCAAAGTAATTGAATCCAAACAATAGATACACATTGTAGCTAGATGAACCGAGACACTCAAAAATCAAAAACAAGAAAACATTTTTCACTAAATATTTCAAATTTGAATCCTGTTCAATATTTTTTGCATGACGCTTGCAAGTACTTATACAGGCAGCCACTGATATCTCTTTTAACGTATGGAGTTACTTTTTTGGTCGAAACTGAATCCTCCCAGTTCGACATTGGTTGCCTGATTTATAATCTGCAATGTCAACACACTTAAGGTAAGTCTGATGCTTCCACCGCTAGACCAGCGATAAGCAACCTGGAACTCTGAAATTGCATGCTTACTTTTGTTCTCAGAGCTCTGGCTCCTGTGAGTCCTGGGTTATCGCAGTTTTTTGTTAGAAGCGATGGGGATTCGATGAAAAGGGGAAGAAGCTAAAGGTTCTCGACCTGTGTGCTAAACGATCGCACCATACAAAGTTTAAATATACATACCGTATTATACTCGCCTATAGGTTGCACCACCGTATAGGTAATCCTAAAATATATATTTATTTTGTTTGCGTTTGTCAGGCTTCCACTCGAGTGGCGGTAAAAAAAATCAGGGGGACGGAATGTAATAGTACATACACGTCTTTTTTCAGCTGTTACAAAAAAAAGTAGTATTTACTTTTAATTTTGTTAGTGCGATACAAGCGGGAATAAAACATTTCGGATTATTTCTAGCAAATTTCATAACGAACAGGTGGGAGTAAATACTTGAGGAATGGCAACTTGTG